ATGAGCACAAAGTCAAAAGTTTGATGACTTTTTAAAACTTAAAAAGAGTTAAGTGACCAAATGAGCACAAAATCAAAAGTTAAGTGACAAAAAATGACCTAAACCCTAACTAAAATCATAAAAGTAGAAAATTTTGTAAACTTTCAAAATCGAAGTTTGTGATTGAGAGAGTTCCCAGCTAGGTTTAAAAAATCAATGAAAATTCTGATATTAGCCTTTAGTGAGGACCATTAATTTTGAAACTCAAAACTCAAAAAAGTTATATGTATTTATGAAAGTGTCTATTTTGATGAATTTCTCTACGTTGAACATACTATTTATGCAACAATGTTTTATTTTTTTTACAACCGAATACATAAATGTGCTACTTTTTATTTGTTATTTATGAAACAACTTTTTTTTTTTTTTCATTTTGTCAAATTTTGTGACAGTTTTCTTCTTTTACTAATTTATGTGACGGTTTTTAGACGGTGTTTGAGGTTGTTTTTTGAAATAATTTATTGACTTATTGGTTTTTCAAAAAATCTAATAAGTCTAAAAAATATTTTGGTATCAAATAAGGACTTTTTAAAATGACTTTCGGAACAACTAAACACTTTTTGATAAATAAGGATGAGTTGATGTTGTAAGAGCTTTTGGCTTATTAAAATTAAGATAACCAATATACCCCAAAAGTATACACTCTACCCCCTTGTTTTCATAGCTTCTATTATTTTATTTTTATATGAACGAAATTTTAATATTATCATGATTTAATAAAAAAATTATAAATTTTGCAAAAGAAATTTATATTATATATTTTTATAAAAAATTATAATTTTTGTCCAAAAAAACTGTAAAATCTTAAATATTATATGTAAAGTAGTAAATGGTTATAAATACGTAAGCATGTCTTTTTTTGTCATTTTACATGTATAAGCTAATCCAATTATTTTTTATAAAACAACTTATCGACGTATAGGCTTTTACAACCACAAAAACTAATCCAAACATTTTTCTAAAAACTTATTTTCATATTGCTATAAATCAATAAACACTTTTGGAGTTATAAGCAATCCCAAACGCCCTGTTATTTATGTATTTATACAATTTTTTCATTCTTTTACAAATTTATGTGACAACTTTTAGTTATATAAGTATTTCTGCAATTTACATGAGTTATGCAACCTCAGCAAAATATTGCATTTTGTGGCCATAAAATGAAATTTCGTTGCATAATTGGCATAAAAAAGCCATTTTTTTTTCTATTTATAAAATAAAAATATAGTCTTTGGTTATTACATAAATGTACATTTAACCATTTTCTTAATTTCTACTCATTCAAAACGTATATATAGAAACACATAAGTATCTGTCAGGTAAAAACAAACAGTTTTACTTAGAAACAAAAAGCAAGTGTGAGTTTAAAAATGTAACCAAAACCCATAACATCTCCACTTATTTTCCCCTATTTCAGTTCAATAAATATAATTATATCCCAAACAAATTATCATTCCAAATCCAAAAGAAAAAACAAAACCAATTAATTAGAACCCTTTTCCTCCACTTTATCAATATCTTCAACAGATGCTGCAAAAATCTGCCTTTCATCAGAAGTCGCAGTGATAACAGGCATCCATACATCAGCAGTATCACTCAACAATGACATCACTTGTGGATCAGCAGCCATGGCTGATGATATCATCTCATCAACATTGTCTAACTTTGCAGATAATTTATCCAACTCTGAAGCAAGTTCTAGCTGATAATTCATCAAGAACATCATTTCAATTTCGTTAAGAAATGAATTTGAATATGAAAAATGAATCTACCTCGTCAAGAATTTTTGTAGAGTTTGAAGGAACTTTGGTAACTTCTAATCCAAGGGCTTCAATTTTGGCACGCAATTCAACTTCTTCTTGGTTAGTCAATGATTCCACCTATACAATTTTCACAAGGGCACTTGTTAATTCGATTAAAAATATGTGCACATTGTTTGTTTTGTAAATCCATCAAAGAAATTGGAATGCAAATTATGTTAAACTTAGTATGAGTTTCAAATTGTGTGAGTCGATCGAAACCCTAACAAAAAATCGGTAAATCTAGACTACATGATCCCAAACACAACCTAATCTACAACAAGCATATTAGATCAAATCCAGACTCATACGACCAAAATCCCATTAATCCCTCCATCTTTTCACAGCTACATCAAATACCCTCATCATAGAGTTGATCAAAATCCAATAATTTGATGGTTCGAATTCGTATATTCTACAAAAGTGGCAAAATTAAAGAAAACTGAATGCCTACAAAATTCCCATTTAATTGAATTCATTAGAATGGAATAAATTAACAAAAGATCATTAATTTTAACATACGAAATATGGGGAACTTCAGAATCGTTCGAGGAAAAGGAAAAACAAAATCGGTAGATAAATCTGGGATGCTTTAACCTGTTGGAGGAGATTAGAGAGGAGCCCGAAGAACTGAGTGTCCGGGAGTGATGACGTTGGCTTGCCTTCTTCACCCATTTTTCCTTTAATTTTCTGGTAATTCGATATTATTCTACCTTTTCCCTCTGAAGAGACGCAGGTCTGTAATCTGTTCCCTGATTTTTGTTCTATTTTTTCTTGTTTAAATCTACTACCGTCATTTTTCTATTATTTTTATTATTATTTTTTTAACAAATCAAATTCAATTCAAATTTTAAAAATACAAAATCATATCCTAATAACATTGTTATGTTTATTTTGTTTAACAAATTAAGTCGTAATTACTTACAATCGACAATATCTTGATTTTTTTTTGACATTTATTATTATTTTTTTTTACATTTATTATTTTTTTATTTATATTAAAATTTTAAATATACTGACCGTGGTTTCCACGGATTATAACCTAGTTCATTTTATATATACATATTACCGGTTGTGGCCTTGTGAAAAGTCTCATTTTACTTTTCGTTCTGCTTGCACAACGTAATTAAGGGAACGGGTTTTGATTTTTATTTGCTCCAAACTCTAAGTTAATGAGTTTGGATCATATTGTATGATTCATTTACGGTTAACGACATGTACCTTTTAACCTTCTTATTAAAAGGGTTGGGTATGGATCACTATCGATCCGATCCGTTTATGACCCGTCCATTTTAAAATTTTAAAATATAAATTTATTATTTATAAGTTATACATTTATTATTTACAATTAAATCACATTTATCTCCCAATACATATAAATATGTGAAATTAGTATTACAGTCACAATCGATAACCAAGAACAAGAACATAATGCCTCAATATATCTCGTTTTGTAGAAGGGTTTTCTGCAATCAACATTCCTTAATCATGTTATTTTCTAAAATTCTAAAATTATATGTGTTGACTTGTAATGCATAATTATAGTCCAATCTTAATATTGTAAATGGGTCGGGTAAAAGGATTGAAAATCCGTTGATCCGGTGAATAAAGGTATGCGTTTAATTAGTCAAAACCTTGTGGGTTACGGATCAGGTTTGGATCAGCATTTTATTATTTCTTAATGGACTTCGATCAAGGTCGATCCGCTCCAAACTCGTTCCATTGTCAGTTCTACATATAAGTACTTTCTTCGAATGTAGAAGTTATATATAACTTATATATATAAGTATTTTATTTACTGTATTTGAGGTATGTCCCATTTTCTCTTATTTTATGCATATTATTTTATTATAAATTATTAATGAGATTTCTTCCACTAAAGACATGTTTGGTACGGAGTGTTACATATGAGGATTTCAGAATAAACAATAATACTTGCATATTGCTTGGATCGTGATTACTTCACTTTCCAAAATTTGTAATTCGTCCCTTACACGAATTCAAAAGTGGGATAATCCAAGAAATCTGATTTGGATTACATGCATAACCCAAATCTTAAACACATAATACCTTGTGATGTTATGTGTTCTTGAGAGACAGACAAATTGATAATGATCAATTTCGTATATGTGAATGATCAACCTTTTTCCTGCAATAATTACCTTGCATTTATAAAAGGAGGGAAAAGTGGTTAAGTGTTGGTTACACCAAATTGGCGCCAAAAAAGGGGTAGTTTTAGGACATAACCGAAGCCTACATCACCATGATGTCATAAGTAGATTTTTGGCGGGAACCACCACCAGGGGCTATACCCATTGGACCTCGCTAGGGCTATACCCCTTGGAACCCTGTACCTAGGGGTTTTACCCCCGGACCCCCGTATCTCCGAGTCAACTTTAACATTCCGAGTGTACACCCCGCACCTCCAGTCTCGGATAGTGAACTAAACTCGGCGTGTCTCGACAATAATAACAATTACACCAAAATATGTTGATAATACTAAAATTACCAACACACAGCGTTTGTGAGCTTCTAGCTTCTAGCGTTTGACAAAACACTCTGTTTTAAACAAAAAACATTGTTTGGTATTGCCTCCGATCTCAGATAGAGAACTAAACTTGGCCTGTCTCAACAATAATAACAATTACACTAAAATATGTTGACAATACTAAAATTACCAACATGGAGCGTTTGAGAGCTTCTAGCTTCCAACGTTTGACTAAACGCTCCATTTTGAACAAAAAACCTTGTTTGGTACAACAAGCTTTTAGCGTTTAGTTTAAACAAAATGTTCCAAATCTAAAAGCTATCTCACATACCGTTTAACAAAACGCTACCAACTACCAGCTACCTGCTAACCGCTACCCTCTACCAGCTAGTTTTGCGAAATACGCCCTAACCTTATATGATATCAACTTTATTCGATATTCTCCAATAGAGAGAAAATAGGGGGAAAGAAAAAGAGAGAGAGAGAGAGAGAGAGAGAGAGAGAGAGAGAAAGAGAGAGAGAGAGAGAGAGAGAGAGAGTGTGTGTGTGTGTGTGTGTATGTGTGTGTGTGTTTGGCTCGGTGATACCTAGCTTGGCTTATCGGCACCTCATATCGCAGACGGTGTTTACCAGGGTAAGGTGGCACACCATAGCACAAACCACACCACTCCTATCGACCTAAAGTAGCCAAGGTTTCCAACGTTCCTTTCCCCGTTTCTTTCTTTCTTTCTTTCTTTCTTTCTTTCTTTCTTTCTCTCTCATAATATTCTTATTAGGGTGGATGAAGTGGCAGCGGGTTGGGGTGTTTTGTAACATCCAAAATTCCACAAAAAATTTAAACTTTTCAAAACAACCCATTTACTAAAAAGAGTGTTTACAAAACCATTGTTTACAAAACATTAGTTAAAATTAGAGTCTCCCAAGATCCAATCAGTCGTAAAACCAAGGATGTGTACGGTCACGCCTTCGCCTTGCCATGGTCCTCTGAAATACCTGAAACAAAAATAAAACTGTAAGCCAATGCTTAGTGAGTTCCCCCAAAGTACCACCATGAAAACATAACAAATAACAACATGCACTAGGTCCACAACTAAAAGACCGGACTACCCCTGAGCCCACAGTATGAGTGTGGCTTGTCTATCGGGCCCACAGATCATATTTGGCTTGCTCTTGAGTCCACACCATAAGTATAGCTTTCCCTCGGGACCACAACTTCTGTCTAGATTACCCCTGGCCCAGTCAGTCATCGGACTGGAATGCAAATATACAGTGGGTCCACTCAATCATCGGACTGGAATACCCTCAGGGCCTCAGTACGAGTCTGACATACCAACCGACCCTCAGCTCGTATCTGGAATGCTCTTGAGCCCTCAGTATGAGTATGGCATGCCAACCAGCCCTCAACTCATATCTGGAATGCTCCCGGGTTTGTTGGCTACATCACAAAGCAGTCTAACCTCAACCCAATACAATATGTCGACATATAACAAATAACAAACATAAGTAACAGACAGATAGTCATGCAGACAGAAATCACATGTAGTTCTATAGATCTACCAGTCTAAGCATATCAACAACTAACCTATAATCATGTAGATCTCTCCCACACTAAGCATATCAATGTATAGTAGGATATTAATCCAATGGGCCGACTTTGGTGCCTTCGACCCGTAAGTACAGTGAGGAAAACTCACCCCTTGATCTGAACAATAGCTGATGAGGTCCTGATTCCGAATATCAGCTCTAACCTACACCTATCCATTCAAATGACCAATTCTCAATCACAATCCAAAATACCCAAATTGCCCTTTGGTCAAACTTAGTCAAAAATAAGGTAAAAGTCAAAATTCCCAAAAAGTAGACCGAGTCAACCCTGCTGAGTATGCCCAACGTACATGACGTTTGACTAGGCACGAGCCTGTTGACCATGTACGCGCAACGTACGCCTAGTATGCCCAGCGTACGCAGCTGGCTGTGAACACAACTCAATAAGAGCTTAATCCTTAATCCTTTTAGTCCATTTTACAGATCCAAGTCCAAAACGATGTCTTTGACCATAAAGTTTCCAACTTTATGGTCTTGCATGGCCAATAAGTCCCAACACCAAAGATCCTAACCTCTTAATCCATTAAGACCATGCATGAGAAGAAACTAGTGTCCAAGATTACATTTTATGACTAAAGAGGCTCCAAAACCTCTGAAAGGACAACTCAAATGGATTAGAGTAACCCTTACTCATAATACCAAGCTTAAGGGACCAAAAAACATAAAAACAAGCCCAAAACAAGATCTAAGTATAACTTCACCAAATTCAAAACTTTATACATCCAAGTGATGCCAAATGATGGTGTGATTATGGATCTAAAGTGCTTCACTCCTCCAAGATGGTCTCTACTTCCTTCCTTCTTCTTCAAAGGCACAAAACATACACACACACTCAAGCTTAGAAATACTTCACAGGGTGGATTAGGGTTGCAAGAACGTTTTGAGAGGATGGAGGCTGATGAAAAGAACCAAGGTTGAGAGTTAATGAAGAATAAATAGGGTCTAAACCCTAAATATTAGGGTTTTGGACTTCACCCCGTACGCCCAGCGTACGTGGCTCTGGCCCATAAATCCAAAAGTGGAAATAATAAAACGTACTCCCAACGTACGTGGCTCCACCCCATAAATCCAAAAGTGGCAATAATAGCCCCTCCATTTCATAAGTCTTACATTATAAGGACCAAAATGAAATAAATCTCAATATAAGGGTCAAAAGTGAAAGTGCCTCAAAAAAAGATGTTACATGTTTGGCCTAGTGATACTGTCGGTGGAACCATTTCGGATGAGTTCTAGTACCGCTAATAAAGTCTGAAGCGGGTTGTTGAACCATCATATGTTGCTTGTTGTGATTCCCCATTTGTGTTTCCTTATTCTTTGACCATTGACTAGTCAAAGCAAATATTTTTTTTACCTATACATAAAACCATCAAACCTCAATTGTAATGTCTGGTTCCTGGTATGTATTTGAACTTATAATTTATTCATCTTTATAGAGCAACTCGACGAGTTGAAGGCCCTAGACTCGTCGAGTAGAGATGTTTTGGACCGCGCATTTTTGGTGACCAACTCGACGAGTTGGGAGGTCTCAACTCGACGAGTTGGCTGGGGAAAATGAAACCCTAATTCCGAGGTTTTGCACCCTATTTAAACACCTTACCCTAAGGTGTTGGCCTCATTTCCAGCCTCCAAGTCCCTAACCCTGAATCTCGGAAC